TCACAGGATTGAAAACTTCACTACAGTTAAAATTTCCCCCCACATAACATGGAGCATTCATTTTTGTTTTGAAGCCTCACTGAGCTTTTGACGTAAACAATAACTACAATCTTCTCTCTTCTCCTCCTTTCTCCTGATGAATTAGGGAATTAACTTCTAGCACTGCTTTCAAGGAACCTCATGTCATTACTCTTGCATACACCTTAATATATTTATCTGATTTATATGGATGTAGTGTCGCTGATTGTTCCTGAAATAAGACTTAATATGTGTAGGTTCCTAGTTCAGAGTCACTGACCATCCAATTGGGGATCAGTTTAATTATACATACATCCGATACAGGAAATACTTTATGTTAGTTCAGTAAAGGGATTTTTGGAGTTTCCATCAAGTCTTTCAAAAGTCACATCTGATTATTTTCAAGACCATGTCTACTTTGCAGGGTGCATTCATTCTCCAGTCAATATTGCTTTTACAAAATGTAGGACAAACATGATTGTTTATTTGTTTAAAGAATTTATATGCTCTCCACCTTGATCCAATGACTTTCAGTGGCTAATAATGAATACAATCTAAAGCAATATAAATAAACAATAATACATTTTAACTGAGGCTCCTAATAAGTCATCTCACATCATATCAACACAAGATATACTGGGCTCTTCTGACATCCAACCTCAGCATCTGATACAAAGAACAAAACATGGCCTTCTAGAAGGCTAACAGAGTTGAAGCATCTGAATCTCATGGCAGAGAAAATAGATCAACTTACTTGTCAGAAAATTAATCTTTGTATAGAAAAATATATGTGAATACTTATTTTAGGTGTAGTTGAAATGTGGCTTAAAAGCAAAATAAAATAATTGCTGTTAATAATGAACCTATTCAGGTTATGTAGGAGGGTGAATATCTCTAGTAATGATATGTCCTCAATGATGTTTATTTTCCAGAAGCATCTCATGAAGCATAAATATGCATAAAGCTAATATAGAGAGAGACATATATAATCATGTTTATGAAGCAGTCTGAGTTATGGCTGGCAATATACCTGAAACTAAGAGAAAAACCAGCTTGATAGATTTATATATATGTTTTCTGAGGTTTTCGCGGGTGTTTGTATGTAGGTCTTTGGTTATTTGGGTTTTCTCCCGCGTAAAATTGGAGGTTTCTTGGCAACGTTTCAACGAAGTCTCATTCGTCATCTTCAGGCTGGTGTTCTCGGCTTCGTGCTTCTAGGAGCAATGTGTGTGATCGCAGCTGTTTCTTCTTTTTAACTGCCAGTGGGGGTGTGAACTGATTGGGTGGGAGCTTGGCTGTGTTCTGATTGGGCAGAGGTGTGTTCTGATTGGTTGGGGGTTTTTCATTTCATTTCATTTTATTAAATTTGTGTACCGCCCTACTCCCGAAGGACTCAGGGCATAAAACAGCCATGTTTTATGAACAGCCATAAAATAAAACATATAGATACAAAATTTAAAATAGAGATAAAACTAATTAAATAAATTTGGCTGAACCATTTTAAAACCCCAATAAATTAAAACCAAATTTAAAATTTCCATTTAAAAAGAGGAAAAATTTAGGTCAGGCCAGCTTGATGAAATAGAAACATCTTAAGCGCGCGACGGAAGGTACGCAGATCCGGAATCCTCCGTATCTCCGGGGGGAGCTCGTTCCAGATCGTAGGTGCCCCCACAGAGAAGGCTCTCCCCCTGGGGGCTGCCAGTTGACATTGTTTGGCCGACGGCACCCGGAGGAGCCCCTCTCTATGGGAGTGTACTGGTCGGTGGGAGGCTATGGTGACAGCAGGCGGTCCCGTAAATAGCCAGGTCCTAAGCCATGGAGCGCTCTGAAGGTGATAACCAAAACCTTGAAGCGCACTCAGAAGACCATCGGGAGCCAGTGCAGCTCGCGCAGGAGAGGCGGGTTTGGCTGTGCTCTGATTGGATGGGGGGCTGGCTGTGCTTTAATTGGCTGGGTGTGTGTTCTGTTTATGTGGGGGCTTGGTTGTGCTCGGGTCAGTCTGAATAGCAGGGGGATTTGAGCTGGTGAGCTGTGTTCCTGTTGTTTGGCTTCGCGTTCATGGCCATGCTATCTCTTCATGGTGGATGTCAGTCTGCTTCATGTATGGATTGGAGGGGTTTAAGGTGGCTAATGATGCAGCTGTGGTCTGGCTTCTGGTCCGGGGTCGTGCCTCATTATCAGTGTGGGTTCGAGTCTGCTTTCTGCGTGGATGTGTGGTGGCTACATCCTATGTGGCTCTCGTGAGTGTGGGTCTGGTGTCATTCTTTGTGTTAGGGACTCATTTGTCAATAAGGGCGGGTTTCCCTGCCTTTCCATTTTATGAGTATTCTTCCTTTCTTTTTTTCTCTCTCTCTCCCTCTTGAGTGCCACATCCTGACTTGAGGTCTTTCATATGTCTCTGATTTAACTCTTTGTTTAGCCCCAAAGCTAATCTTTCTCTCTTTCTAACATGCCCACTGTTTTATTTTAATTTAACAGCTTTTTCATTCTTCTTTGACTTCTTCAACTCTCTTTCAACTTACTGGGTTGCATTTAAAAATACATGGAAGAGACCAGTTTATCTCTACGTTCCAATCAAATTTAAGATAAACACGATATACGGTACATTAATGAAACTTTGCACATAATCATTTTTCTTTTAAATTTTTTACCAGTACCTTGAATTCTGTTTAGAATTCAAAAGCTTTCTTCCATCTAGGTCACTAGTAGACACTGCTGTCTTATCTTTTACCTGCACTAGTTTGTGTATTCTGAATTTCTTTTTGTTTAAGACACCAAATATTAAGCTATTCAAAATACAGGTTTTCATGGTAATTTTCAAAGATGTTGCTCAGGTTTTGTCAGGAAAGCTCATTGCATACTGTATATCTAACAGATCAAACCACTAACATTAATCTACTACTTTGTCCACAGTCATATTTGTGTGAAGAAGATAGCTTTTCCAGAAATACTAAAGGTGTACTAATTTTTAAATGTGATTATGTTTTTATCTAGAGCAAAACTAAATTTTGCCTTAACTAATTAGATATTCTTTCCTCAGAGGGTCAAAATTGGAAGATAACTGCATCTGTTTTGCAAGATGGTAGTAAACAATTCTTAGGCTAAACTGAATCAATGGACTTTCCTTAACAAAAATAAATAGCTTCTTCAGATCCAATTGGATGATGCCAGATGGAATATCTTAGTAAAATTTCATCAGAGTCACAATTCTTGATTTTCATGGATATATCCAGCCTTTTTTTCCCATGATGGAGCTCTTCTGTTTTTTTTCTTCAAAGAAGATGGAAATAATGTGTCCTTAACTGATACACTGGATGTTAAGATAGAAAAAAATATTGCTGGTCTATGATTATTTTTCATTCTTTTGCAAAAAAATAAAACTCTTTGGAGCAGGTTAAACATCAATAAGGTTAGGCAACAGCCATCTAGAAAAGACAGCCTCTTTCTTTTATGTACTCATTTCTCAATCACCTAAAGACAAATTAAGAATAACCATTAGAAATTAATGAAAAGGAGAGAAAATTCCTTTGGTGATGTCACCTGCATGATTTTGGAAAGACAGCTTTCTTATCCAGATATATTCCACCAGCATATAGAATAGGAGGAGTAAATTAGTTAAAAAGAGGTCCGGTGAAATTATATAACATAATCCCTGAAGTATCATTTTATGAAAAAAGCAATCATAACATCAAAATTACATTGACCCAATATCTAGCCCAGATACCTTATTCATCAGTAATAACAGTCAGCAATATCAAAATCAGCTGACATTATTTTTCTCTTGTTAAGGTAAAATAAATTATACTAAAAAAGTGGGAGAAAAGTGGGAAGTTTAAATAGTCAATTAAGTATCAACAACTGAAGGTAATAACATCATGGTGAGATAGATGGCAAACAAATTTAATCATCATCATCATCATCATCAAGCATCTACCACATAACACCCCAGACTTAACAATTGCCAATAAGAAAGACAAAAAAAGTCTTGATAGTGGATGTGAGACAGGAAAATAGAAAAAGAACTGGAGAGGATAACAAAATACAAAGACTTACAAGTAGAAACAGAAGGACTGTGGCAAAAGCAACCAAAGGTAGTATCAATAGGCACCTTGAGTGCAATCCCAAAGCATTAAACATTGGGCCAGATTGTGCTTTGGTCACCATTTATATTAACTTTGACGTCTATGTTCGATGCAAGAAAGCAGGCTTTATGTTTCAATGTTTCAGGGTTTTTTTCAGAAAACAAAATTTAAAAATCCAATCTGGTATTTTTGTTTAAATTCTTCAGCACTAATAAAAATAGTTTGTTTTTCTTGATTAGAAAGGTATAAAAGGCTGTTTTAGAATAAAGAATGTATACATATTGTTAATATTTGGTTATATTAATAATCAAATATCTTGTATAATTAATTTTCTTTTTCTAATTGAATTAACATAATACAAGCAAACCTCACTATTAATGATATTATATGTCTAATAGCTGTGATAATAAAAGAGACAAAATGAAAAAGGAGTCAAAAACTGTCATAAATGTAACAATTTGAAAAAAAAAGAATATTGCATTGCTTGAAACCAATACTACAGATAGCTGCAGATTTCTCCTTCCAGTGTTGTATAAACATTTTTTCAGCCAGCACCACCCAAAAAACAAATCCAGTCCTTGATGTCTTCATAGGTTTCAAATACAGTATTGGGAATGCAGCCAATACTTTTATAAACATCAATCAATCATAATAATGTGCTGATAATGTTCTAACTCCAACTTGCAGCTCCCATAGCAAGATAATTGTTCTCTGACATTTCCAATACACCCAAAGCATTTTTTGTTTTTGCATTAACTTAATCTTGAGATCATACAAAACAAATTTCACACTGTTTAAAGAGAGACTAAATTGATTTACCAAGGAGACATTTGATTTCTTTTCCAAAGGTTGCATAAATAACAAATATTCATTTTATCAGCTTTAAGATATGGATTGAGAAGCCACAGTTAATTCTTCGGAAAATTCAACAGCTGTGGAACTTCAGAAACAGCACCATCAAACAGACTAAATAAGAAGTGTTTAAACTGAATAAACTGCCAAGAAGGATAAGGTATATTGAACTCATTGTTTAATTCTGTAAAAGTTTTTGAAGTGATTTTGTTAGAACTGAGTTGATCTCAAAGGCCAAGTTTTATCTCCAAGATATATTTAGATCTGTTTCTAAACTAAAAAGGTAAATTCTGAATTTCCTTATTCTAGCCAGTTAACTAAAGGTAGAATAACTGCCCAGTAATAAACCTGAAACTACATAAAGTTAAGTCATTCCTTTTTTCCTAGTCTTACTTCTTAACCACTACATTGCACTAGAATCTGAATGTTTATGTCTTAGATGGTGTGCTTTTACTCTTTGAGTGTTTTACCATATTTGTACTGTCACATTTCTTGGAAGTGAGTAAGCTTTTATCTTTATAGTTTTAGTTTATTTAGTTTTAGTATAGTTTATTTTGTCAAGCATATATAAGATAACAGGTAAAAGTTTAACATAATTTGAATACATGAAAAGAGTAAGTAAAAAGGAATATTAGGATAGGGACGGTAGGCACGCTGGTACACTTATGCACGCCCCTTACAGACCTCTTAGGCATGGGGTGAGGTCAACAGTAGACAGTTTAAGGTTAAAGTTTTGGGGGTTTGGGGAAGAAACTACAGAGTCAGGTAGTGCATTCCAGGCATTGACCACTATTACTGAAGTCATATTTTCTGCAATCGAGTTTGGAAAGGTTTACCTTGAGTTTGTATCTATTATTTGCTCATGTATTGTTGTGGTTGAAGCTGAAGTAGTCATTGACAGGAAGTACATCAAAAGTCGGTCAGAACTGCCCAGGGTTTTCAGAAACAAACAATGAAGCAAACAAACAAAAAATCAGTTAAATATTCCCCTGTGCATTTCTATGGAGTTGACAGCAGCTCAGACTACATCTGATAGTTTCACTGCTAAACTTTCTCTACTCTGGCGGCATAATCCAGATTGGAGATATTGTTAAAAGATTGGAAAGACATGCTCTGTACTTTTCCTACCTTATTTATACAGCCCATGTATAAATTATCTTAAACTCAAGTTTGACTTTTGCCAACTTTTTTTTTTTTCCTAGACAGCTGTATGGAAATGATTTGCCATTATCTTCTCCTGGAATGTTTTTCTGTATCTCCCAATCTAATCTATATACTGTATCTCCTGGTTCCTGAGGGTTTTCAACAAAGTATTAATCTGGCCCAAACCTGCTTAACTTCTGAGCCCAGAGATGTTTGGGTAGGTGCTGGCATCTGTTTATGTTACTGAATATATTACTGAAATTTGTAAATTATTTTTACACAGCAGATTAGAACAGTTGAAAGTGCAGTGCACTGATTTATTGATTCTACCTTTATATATATTACATTTCACTGGAACAAAGGAAAGTGATTATTTTAAAAATAAAAACCAAAGGTCTTCTACAAGCTTGATTAGTTACATAGTGTGTTGGAGAATACCCCAATTGACTCTATTAATTAGGAGCGAGGCTACTGTTTCAGAAAGTAAAAGAAAGTCCATTTTACAGACACCATGCTAAACTGTGTAGCCACTGTGTAGAAATAAATTCTACTAACTCATGGGGTAGCAGCAAGCTATACACCACCTTAAGGTTTTCTCTCATTATTAAATTCAAATTGATTCTGATCAAGAGAAGTTGTGGTTTACAGAAGCTTGTATACAAAATTTTCCTTTCTAACTCCTTATTGTAGTCTATGCATCATTTAAAATGTTCCTTCTGAGAGTCTGTCCTTTCTGTACTTTGATATGCAGAGGAAAGTCAAAGAGGGGGATTTTGGTCAAAATTATGATAGCTAGTTTGTTGCAAAGGTTTGTTTGAAACATTTTCCAGATTCAATCCATATCATCTCCTGTTAGTCATATCTGAAATCCCAGAGAGCTATCACCAATCAATATTAACTGCTTTTGGTTTAATGGATCAAAGGCTTCAGTTGGATACAACTTCATATCTTCTTTTGTTCTGGCTATGAACATCATATTCAACAAACCATTATACATTTTTAATTTATTAACAAATATGCAATCAATTAATTATTCTTAAGTACCATGCATTCAACAAGATAAAACTTTACACTAGCCAAAATCTTCAGAATTTAATACAGATTACTATGTATTATTTTCATCCAATTAAGTCCTTCTGTTCCATAAAGTAAATAGCATTAATTTATTCAAGTTTAATAAAAAAAAAATATCCATTAAGGCTTAAGGAGATTTTACATAAATGTAAAATGTAGACACCAGATAAATATTTAGTGTCAAGCTGAATTTTGACAAGGAAGTACTGCGATTTAAATTTGGCCATCTGCTCCTGTGGGATGTGTTAAAAGACAGATGAAACAAAAATCTGAATTAATTAACTTTTTTCTTTTTTCAAAACATGTGTCTCAATTAATCATCTCAGAAAAGAATAGTTATTTTTTTTTCTCATACGATACTTTCTTCATCTTATTCTACTTTTTGTAAAATGTTGATTTACCTGTGACATCAAGCATTGATCTTAACTTGTATTGGGATTCTTCAGGCAAACCTGAAATAAATACTATTTCACTATAATATTTTCTCAAAGTGACCTTAGGTCTAAATTTACAAAAATCTAGAAAGAAAATTAAGGGATGTAATTATTCAAGAAGTGGTAAGTATTCTTAGATCTTTTTAATAGATTTGGGATTGTTTTAACTGTGAAAATGTGGAACTAAAATCTATAAGTACAGGAAAATAAATGAATCATAAAGATATAGCTTTTGCCAAATTCTCTCTCTCTCATAACAACTAGAACCTGATTAGGACATGGCATTACCCTGCTTTGAATTCTTCAAATGTAAATGTAAAACATATAATATTACATTAAGTAAAAATAAACGAACAGGTACATTGTAGTTTGGAAATGTAGATAAAATGTGAACCTGAATGTGGTACACATTACAAGAAATACATACTAAATAAGAACACCTTTCCACAGAAACTTTCATTTTAAAAAAATTAAAAAATCAAATTGATATCAAAATTGAAACGAGAAATAAATGAGAAACTGGGGCAATTTAAAAGATATGGATACATCAATCCCACAGTGTTTTTTTCTGCTGTATAATCCTAATTTTATGAAAACTGTGATAGCCATGAGGGGAAAAAAATCCTGCTTTTGCTTTCTCTGCTTCCATTTTTATAAGGCACTTGAGATCAAAGATTTCCAACTTAAAAGGCTAACCGTCCCTGAAATTTGTGAAGTCAAAATGCTATGTTAAAGCATAAATGGATACAGAAATCATATGGTATATCTTCTGCTCTCTCACCTAGGTAATGCAATACATAAACAGTCCATTAGGACAGTTTTAAAAAGAAGATATAGTATCTTCAGTCATAATTGACATAATTGACACTTCTAGAGTGAGCTGGGTTCCTGTGAGAAAAGATGGCATTACATTTCCTTTCTAACAGTAATTGTTATCTACTTGCAAATACAGGGCAGTGTATGATAATTACATTGTGATAATGTGTCATACAATGTATGATAATTATATTGTGATAATTTGCTTTTCTGTATAAACCATGTAGAGAAAGATAGGGGGGAGGGGTGGAGGGGGGAGAGGAGAGGAGAGGAGAGGAGAGGAGACGAGAGGAAAGGAAAGGAAAGGAAAGGAAAGGAAAGGAAAGGAAAGGAAAGGAAAGGAAAGGAAAGGAAAGGAAAGGAAAAGAAAATTTTCAAGAACTATTGCAATCCTTACATGCATTTAAACAGGATTGAAAATCCATTTTTGCCATAATAACAAAAACAGCATAAATCAGAGATTTTGGATTAAGCAATGAGATAATCATATTACTTCTGAGTTCTAACATGAACCATCTGTCCCCCCCCCCATCCTGAATAGAATATGAAGTTAATGATTACTGCATAGGAAATTGTTTTTTCTGGGTTCTGCAGAACAAATTGATTTTTATACAAGGAACCCATGTCGTGATAGCAGAGATGACACTATATATGTGCATCATGAGGAGGTTGGCTTTCAAGGGATATCAGTTCTGGCATCATTTGCAATGGAAATGTGCATTTGAGGAAACCATGTAATGAATCCCTTATAGGTGATATGTCTTTTATCTTGAAAATCAATTTAGATTTCTATATTTATACATTGAAATGCATCAATAGTATTCATATCAATATATATTTAAATATCAGTAATGTTTCTGGAGCACTGGCAATGCCATATTCCCATTTTCATAGCTCAGCCAGTGGTGAAATTCAGCCAGTTCTATCTGGCTCAGGCGAACCAGTAGTGCCAGCAGCAGGAGGCTCTGCCCATCTGCCCGGATATCATCACGTCCCGTTTTATACCCTTTGCGCATGAGCAGAAGGCTCTGTGCATGCATGGAGGAGGTGCGTGCAAGCTCACATTTGCGAACCGGTAGCAAAGGTAAGTAAATTTCACCCCTGAGCTCAACCCATACCACCCAAATGCAAAAGAATAAATGGATAAAATATCTCAGTTCTCTGCTGAGCTCCACATTCAGTAAAAAGGTTTCAAAGAAAGAAGCCCAGTATATGTTATTGGATATTTGTATTTCATTGTTTGAGACTTTAACAACTGAAACGGCTGTAAAACTACCTACTGTTCTCTACATTGAATTATCTAATTTGTAGTCCCTCTCAATTAAATATTTGTTTAAAATGACTAAAATATTGCATGGTCACCAAGATTTAATGTCCTTCTCATTAATTTTTGCAGGCTTTGTCTTCGTTTATACCTTCATATTCCTGGCACACTGTAAACCATGATCAGTGTGTTAATTTTTAATATACCACTAGATCAGGGATAGAAAACTATGGCCCTTTTACGATCTGGCTCAGGAATTTTGGGAGTTCACAGTTCATAAAAGAGCCATAGTTTTCCACCCCTGCACTAGATATTTTAAAGATCATGCCTATAAGGTAAATATATAGGGAATAGGGTATATGGAAGCTGGATATAAAACCACATCCACATTATTCTCACCAAAATAAAATGTGATGTTTCTAGGATTTGCAATTTCTTGACACGCCTTAAATTATATTCACAAAATGTTTCCTTGGATCCATTATGTTGAGTGAGGCTTTCAGATATCTTTGCTGGCCACCTTCCATTTGCAGCCCTGAGGGAGAACATTACTTGATGTTCCATGGAACTTCACTGTGTAGTTAGAGGCACATTCCTCTTTTGCCCCTTTGGTGCTGGCATGCTGACATCTATAGAGCAGTCATCAAATTTGGAGAAGAATGATATATAGGTGTAGTTTAATTTATTATTATTATTCTTGTAGGATGTATCATCAGAAGTAGGAGGAACCCATTTAACCTTCCAAAAAAATCCCCAAAATTAATTATAACATAACAAAACAATCTATTAATACGTGTGAAAGTACTTGAAGAGAAGGTGGAAAATAAAGTTCAATAACTATTTCAAGAGGCTTCTGGGACCACTCCAGTGGTGGGATTCAGCCAGTTCGCACCACTTCAGGACAACCGGTTGTTAACTTTCTGAGCAGTTTGGCAAACTGGTTGTTGGAAAAAATAATTAGGGCAGAGAACTGGTTGTTAAATTACTTGAATCCCACTACTGGGCCATTCCCAATGTTTTTATGAACTTCATGTAGTATGGTGGGATGGGGAATGGTAGAAATTTATAAATTGTATGCAATTGATCTTGGATTCAGTTCTAAGATCCTGATAAGTCTGGGAAAAATGATTCTCTGAAATCCAGGAGAATACTCACATACATCAGAGGTGCAAAATCTGAGGCTCCACAGTCACATGTACTTTCTCAAAGCTGAAACCGCATCCACATATTATGTTATTAATCTCTTTTCTAAATCAACGTTACTTAAATTTACAAGGTGAATTGGTGTTTTAGTTCAGTCTTGGGCTGGGGATAATTATGTCCAAGCAGATAGTTAAGAGCTGAAGTTGCCAAACTCTTCACAGCAGTATTCCCAATGAAATAATAAACTTGTGGAAATACATTTGTCTAAAATGCCACCCACTATAATAGCAATGCAAAAATTCAGCAGTCAAGTTTGGTATACTTTTGGAGATGTTCCCATATTTTATTTGTATCAGATTCCATGTATCTAAACGGTATCATTTTTATCTTGCATAATAAAATGTTCACAAAATAAATATCAAAATGCTTAATTTCAATTTCAATTTTATATATAAAGCATAATTTTACTGTAGCATATTTCATATT